GGGGGGGGGGGGTAATTGGGCCTCTCCCACACTGTGGTGATTAATGCTCAAACCTTCTCTTGTAGTGAAGTATGCGCTAGTTTCTCTGGTAGTGCAGTCAGTCGAATGTTTGCTAAATCGAATCTGACTCTGGATTCCACAGCATTCACGTCGGCATGGGCAAGTAAGGGTAGAGGGATTGGTAGTTACATATTACCTTCGTTCATGATGCAGCGAGCCACATCGTTTGTGAGAGACAGAGAAACAACCTACTGTGTGAGATACCAACATAGAACAAAATAAAAACTTTTTTAACGCGGCAATTCGATTATGGTTTGTGTCGGACGCACGCGCGCAACTCTGGTGGAAACACGCCACCTCTCTATTCCTCTTCCCCCGCTTCCCCGCCACTGACCGCTCGACGCTTGCGTAGAAACTAGGAAGACAACGAGTCCCGCTCCGGAGCCGTGACGCACGCGGTCCGTATTTGTACCGCGAAATATTTGAGTTTAACCCCATTGTATTATTGTGCAACTTTGTAAATAGTTTAAAGTTTATTCCAATATATACAGTTTACAGTCATTGGTGTGTTCAACCTTATTTACGCCCCTGAGAACCCAACAGCACAATACCTTCAAGTATATTAAACTTTTTATATTATCTTATATTTTGCTAAATTTAGATTGTAAAGTTTTAATATTATAATAATTTGTAACATTAATTTATTTATAGTAGGTATGGAGAAGATAAAGTTTTAAAATGGTATTGTTGTATAGCTTTATTATATCTATGGCTATCTATAGCTTTATTATAATAAAAATTTTTTGCAATAGGTATATAAGGTTCTTATTTCTGTTACGAGCATTCAAAGTTCTGAACACTGTAATAAGTATTTAGTTCACATACATACTTTCATGTTTGAATAAAATAATAAATTATTTATTTTCCGTTTTACCATAAACTATTGTTATCCTTCTATTAAAGAGTATAATAAGTATAGGGGAACCTTCTATTTACACTTCGGATAGCTGGCAGGTGCGATGTACATACGTACTATTTGCGTTTATGTCTAAAGATATATCTATGGTCTAAAATGACTTAAATGCACATGACTTGATTTAAGAAATCAATTTCTGTAGCTGGGCAGCATATAATTATTACATCAATGCGATTTACTGTAGTTTGATATGATTTTAATTTGATACTCTCTATTTATATAGACACCTAAAAATGTATAATTTGAGCGAAAACTACTATTTAAGAAAATGTTTCCTTCAACGAGATCAGGTGCCGACTCAAAGTATGATGAAAAAGAAAATGAGTCCTGCTCTTGCGGATGTATATTTCAAGTCAATGAATTCGAAACTGAAGCGCATTGCAGGTCTGGAACCTTCACTCAAGGGCGGAGGAAATGATTGGTACGTTCCACCCGAAGAATTACTAAAGGGGCGAGCTGTGCTAAAACCGGTAAAAAAAAGCGTACTGACGAAACTGAACCATCACGGCATCGAGAATATTGGGCATATGTTATATAAGACACATCGGAAGGTATTAAATGCTGAAATGCAGAAAGCCATTCTGGAAAATGACAAACAGTGGAGACAGACTGTTACAGATATGTACAACGAGGAATGGGAAAACCTTGCAAGACAAGAGAGAAGGATTAATAGTAAACTAGTACTAAACGATTTTGAGTCCTTTACTACTTTGTACAGACAATCATTTAATAGAATTGAATCTTTTTTCCACGAGACAGTCATAGCAGACTTGAATAACGTTAAAGCAAATGCTCAGCAAATAATGCAAGACAACTACAAAGAAAAATTAAAATATCAAGCAATTTCCATCACCGATGAATATGATAAAAAATTGATGGAAGAGAAAGCTAGACTTAAAGCAAAATTCATACTAGACGTAGAAAATTGTCGCACTCACTTGGGCAACCAAATTCATGACATTAATTTAGAAAAACAAACAGCCATAGAAACTTTAAAGAACTATTTAAAACAATTAAACTTAGCTTGTCAAGTTTATGTCGCTATTAAAGAACGTGACGAATGCTTGAAAGAACGAACGAAAGCAGAATATAAGCATCGGGGAGTCACTAAAACAATGACTGATACAATAGCACTACAAAATTTTGAAATTGCCTTTCATAAGCAAAGAGAAAGTGCACTCCAGGAACACATTAACTACTGGAAGAAGAAGCTCTTCTGCATGATAAAACACTTCCAAGCGTTTGTGTCATATTCTCTGAATACTGTCCCCGAAAATGCTGAATTTTTTATCAATTTGGAAAAATTGATGTTGTTACAAATAAACCAAGCGCTCGAACAACCTTCTAATATAAGTATATTTGAAACTGAAGAAGAAGAAGAAACATTTCATGATCCAGTACCACAGCCAAAGCCTTTCTATCTGTTCTGTGACAAAGGTTATAAGGTCAAAGTAGATCACGGTTTGTGTCCAAAACATAGTGGTACGGGTAGTGCTCCGCTGTTGCCTGCAGTTATTGTCAACAAACGATGTCTCTATGCGGCCTGCGATAACTTTGATCAGTTTACATCTAGGATTAAAGAATATATTTACGGTTATCCTGGAGACGACTCGATTGTTCAAGATGATCTGGTTTATGAGAATTTTGTACCTGTAAGGTACACATCATCACAAAAGTTAAATGAGTTAAAACTGGAAAGTTCTATAATGCAAATAGTGCAACAAGAAATTTATGATTTACAGAATCAATATTCGGCAAAGAAGTCTGAATCATGCATATTTTGTAAAATGCGCACTTGTTCATGTACTTTGCGTGACAGTGCGTCGGCACTCAGAAAGACAACCAAACAGACTACTCGGGTGGTCCATCCAGATCAAGTAAAATCTATAGAACCATCGAATGAAAAAATTACACCAATGGTCAGAGATTCCGAATTGTCCCACGAAAGGGAACCTAAATGGGAAAGCTTTCTTTCCTACATAGAGCCTAATAAATGTGCTTGTTTGAAAAAGAAATACATAGTAAATTCTTTGCCTTCCTACATGACAAAAATGAAGTACGGGCCGCCCTTGACACTGGACTATAAGATCTGTCCGCTTGCAAAATTAAAGGAATTAGTAAAAAAAGCAAGGAAAGGTGCTCCTACTCGGCTTGTGACAGAGCCAGCTCCGTCTACAAAGAAATGCGCAAGTACTCAGTACTACGATGAAGAATATAATAGCTTGTGCAATTGTTTCGCTGACATCACGGACGGTCGGACTAAGGGGACTAACAAAAACGAGATCTGGAATCTTGAGACTAAGGCAGATCTTACTCGGTTCGTAGAAGTCTCTGGGAAATCATCGTCATCATCAGAAGACAGCAGTTTAGTTGCACAAGCTAGAGCCCACTCTTTGAGAAGTCTCCTCGAAAAGCTACCAGATCTTAAATCTCTATTCCCAGCAGACTAATGACTTTGAATCTTACCTTCTTTACTTATTTATTTTTGGTATTTTTTAGGTTTAGAGATACATTAGTTTTGAAGTTTATGTTATTAGACTTTCCCTATTTTAATGTTGATTTAATAAATATTTAAGTCTATGTCAGTTTGTATTTAATATCGTGATACATCCTCCTGGTTAAATCTATCGATTTTGTCCTACATGTTGCTATCACCTTCGTTAGGATTTTTCACACGCTCCGGTCTCTTGGTAGAAGCCGGCGCCACATACTCCGCGGCGAAGAGTTCAAGTGTATTAGGTAACCGTGTAGCGTGTAGTCCAGTCCAGTCCAAGCTCATGTTTTTATATGTTGTATGTATGTATAATATGTTGTTGTTGGTATAATAAAGTAAATGTTAAAAACCACTTTTACACCCCAGTACTTATGTGTATGCATACTATTTTATTTTCACAACAGGTCAAAGACCTCTCTACCCTCCTTCCATTCCTCCCCCTATTTATACTCCTACTTTTTTTCAACGTCCTTGCACTTTACGTTCCTCTCTGTGCAAAGTTTTCTGCGGCCAATCCTTGTCGTAGTGCGATCTTTAATATTGACTCTAGTAGGCTTATAATGTCTTATACCTACACAAAAAAGTATAAATGTATAGTCCGAATTTTAATTAGATTCCAGATTTGACAATAGCTACTGTCATTTTGTGAAATAATGATACCACATATAATAGTGTAGTGTTGAACACAAAAATCGATAAACAATCAGTGTGTGTGTTTTATAATAAATGTTACAGAAAGTGACAGGATAGCGATAGTGATCACGGCGACAATTTATAAAATAACTTATTACCGTAAAACATCTATCTGTTTTATTTGTCATGTTCCTTCATGATTACATTTTTTTAGTTATTTCACACACAATTATAAAAGAAAAGTCTCAGATCGTTAAGTAATCGTCAAAACTAAATTATCGGTCGGAAATATTTAATTTCCTGATATCCTTAGTTTACGAGAGTAAAATTATAAACGAGAAGAATCGATCCAGAAATATTGCATTTTCATATCGAATAATTTCGCAACGTCACTATTTAGTACTTGTCATAACGTTGCAACACTGAAATTGTCAAATCTGGAATCGAATTAAAATTCCGAGTATAGTTGCTATGGTTTGGTTATGCGGTTAAGCTTTTGGCATTTTAAAGATAACCTATAATTTTATTGTCAATTTAATTTAATTTTTATACATACCATTTGTTGTTTATTTACACATACATGAAAATATATTAACGCCACAATGAAAAGTCTCAGCGAAAATTCTAAGTTAAGAAAATACTACTTAAAAGAACAAAAGGTGCCTACACAAAGTGTGATAAGAAACACCATGTCTGATAGGCTAACGGATGTCTTATTCAAGTCTTTAAACCCAAAGCTTAAAGTTCTTGCCGGACTCGAACCTCCACTAAAAGGTGCAGGAAATGATTGGTTCATGTGTCCAAAAGAGAATCTTAACAAAAGTAGACCTGTTATGAAACCGATTGACCATAAACTTTTAGCCAAACTGCATTATACTGGAATTCAAGAGCTGGGAACACAAGCGTATGTCGCTCATCACCTGGCTTCAAATCAAGAAAAAGATAGAATTGTTCATGAAGCTGATATGGCTTGGAGAAATAAAATTGAACTAGCTATGAATGAATATTGGAATGAAAATGTCAAAATATGTGAAAAATATAATACAGAAAAAATGCAACACATGTTCCATCTATTTGCCGATATATATCTAAACTCGTTTAAGAAAATTGAGAAGGTCTTTCACGAAGCAATCAAGTTAGATACGGAAAAGGTGCTAATAGGAGCACAAAACCGAATGAAGAAGCGTTATTCTACGTTTCTTAAATCTCAGGCGATTCATTTAACAGAGGAATATGACAATAAAATTAACGAAGAAAAAGCAAAATTCAAAGCCGAGTTCATTGAGAATGTGGAAAACAGTCGCACAGATATGATACAAAAAATTCATAATGTCAATACAGATAAACATGAATTCTACGAAAGGCTAAGAAAAGTTTTGGAATGTCAAAAGATTTCTTGTCAATTATATGTTTTACTGAAAGAGAAAGAAGACTGTTTAAATGAAATGGAAGAACTGAAATGTAAACACGAAGAGCACGTACAATTATTGACAGAACAAAGTAAATTGCAAAATGTTGAAATAAGCCTTATAGAACAAAAAGAAAAACAACAAGCAGAGCTGAATTCGATCTGGACAAATAAAGTTCGCCATGTCGTAAGAAATTTTCAAAAGGTTATTAATTATTGTTTGCATATCCTCCCGAACCAAGCGGATTTTTTCATAAACATGGAGAAACTCATGCTGTTACAATTAAGTGAAGCACTTGAAAATCCAACTGCTGATAATATTTTTGAACCAGAAAAGCCACAATTCAACACCCCTGTACCACAAGCAAAGCCGTTCTACTTGGTCTGTGACAAAGGCTACAAGGCTAAAGTCGATCAAGATCTATGTCCAAAACATAGCGGTACATCTAGTGGCTCGGTGTTGCCGGCAGTCATTATCAACCGGCGATGTTTATATGCAGCGTGTGACAGCTTTGCACAGTTCACTGAAGGAATCAAAGATTACATCTTTGGGGACCGTGGACACGACGCTGATGTGCAAGATGATATTGATTACGAGCTTTTTGTGCCAGTAAAATACACCCAGATGCAGCAGCTACTTGAGTTGAAACTAGAAAGCTCGATAATGCACATGTTGCAAAACGAACTGTCTTCAGGGACTTGTAACATATCGAATTCTTTGAGTGCATCTATTGAGAACCCGGATTCGCTAACAGGTGAAAATGAGGGTGACACAAATGAGGCTTCGGTCGCATCTACATCAGATAAAAAAGATACTCCGCTTTCGAAAATAAGACAAGCAGAACATGAAAGAGAACCTAAATTAAAGAGTTATTTCAAATACATGTCGTCCCAAAATTGCGAGTGCATCAAGAAACCGATTGTTCAGCAGATACCGCCGTATATGAGGAACATGTCTGAGTATGAAACATTAGAATTACCTAACTATGAGAAATGTTCCGTAGCATCTTTGAAAAACATGGTTAAACGAGCGAGAAAAAGACAGAATAAATCTTCTCAAAGATCCTTACCTGCAGTGGCAGTGTCCAAAGTAAAAGACGCTTCCACCCAGTACATTGATGAAGAATTCAATTATCTATGCCAGTGTTTATCTCAGCGTAACATCGATACTGCGAATCAATTACCTGTGTCTCAAGTAGACGACAGTTCACGCTCATACTCGAGTAGTCCGATTTTGTATGCTCTCGGTAAAGGATATTCACGAAACGATCTGATCGAATGAACACCATTACATAACAAGAAACAACTATAAACATAAACAGCTTGTAAACTCGAACAATCATTTAATTTTGTAATATAAATATGAACGTCAAACTTCTGGAAATGACTCACTATAATAACTCGCGTCGTGCTACACACACGTGTTGGGGTAAGTAGATTTAATTATGGTTGGCGATAATTTGAGAAGTGAGGCCATAATCTGTTCATTTATCGCCTACTCCATTTATCCTGGTCGACTTGCACGAATCAAATACTGAGACCTAAAACCATGGAAAATCGTCCTTTGCTCGTACCTACTCGAAACGTTAGTGTTTGCCGTTGTTTTCCCACGTTTTCTACATTACCACATCCTCTACTAAAGAGATAGAGTTGTGTAGTGAAACTAGGGACAAACTGACAGAAGAATTAGATCTGCAATAAAAACTTTTTGATCTTTTTAATACTTTCTTCGTTAAATTCTTTGATTTGGTCTTTTATCGTACTTTCATAAAGTAACGTCATAATATGATTGTCACATTCACCTACAAATATACGGTAATGTTAGGTATTTTGTAACATACTTTTTTTGTAATATTTGGGATATATTATTTCTTTTATAATTCATTATAAAAGCTATTTGCTACTATGGATGTAAAGCGCACAAACCTATTGAGCGAAAATTATAATTTAAGAGAATATTTCCTGAAAACAAACCAGGCCCCCACTCAGAGTATGATGAAAGAAAAAATGAAACCTCCGCTTGCAGCAGTATATTTCAAGATGATGACCCCGAAGCAGAAGGTGCTAGCAGGACTTGAACCTCCAATGAAAGGCGGTGGCGGCGACTGGTATATGCCACCCAAAGATATTTTAGAAGGAAGAGCAGTCTTAAAACCATTTAAAAGAGAGTATTTGACCAAACTAAACTACCTGGGCATCGACAATATTTGTATGAAGTTGGTTGAAAAGCATCACAATTCCATGAGAGAAGAGCAAAAGAAGATGATCGCTGATAATGATAAGAAATGGACAGCTTTCGTGGAAGCTGAAAGTGCGCAGTACTTCGACACTTTGTCTAAAGAAGCAGCGTTGAAAAATACGCTTATATTGCAAAAAGCAAACAAAGAATTTTCGATTTTATATGAAAGATCCTTTAATACATTAGAATCACTAATGCATGATGCTGCTTGCAAAGAGATCAAAAGAATACAGGATGAAGCACACCTGATCATGTTAGAAAAATATAATATGGCAGTTTCACTTCAAGCAAGACGATTATGCGAAAAGTTTAGGAATAATCTGGAGACAGAAAAGACAAGGCTAAAAACTGAATTTATTGAAAAAGTTGAGAATTGCCGCACTGCCCTTGGTACGCAAATACATGACGTCGTATTAGATAAACATATTGCTATTGAGAAATCCAGACAATACATGCAATGCCTAAGCCTAGCTTGTCAAGTCTTTGTAGCTTTGAAGGAGAAGGAAGATTGCAAAAAAGAAATTAAATATGCTGAAAAATTGCATAAGACAAAAGTAAACACTTTAGCACACGAAATAGCTTATAGAGACAACGAAGTTGTTAAGCAAATGGAGAAAGAAAAGGCACAATTAGAGTTTTATCAATCATGGAACAAGAAAGTTTTGCGCACCATCAAGAGTTTTCAAGTGTTTATATCATATTGTTTGAGTTTACTACCAGCATATGCAGATTTCTTTATCAATTTGGAAAAGTTAATGTTGCTACATCTGGATGAAGTCTTAGAAAATCCGAACGCTGAGAGCATCTTTGAAGGTGAAGAGGAATGTAATGAAGACCCGATACCTAACCCGCATCCTTACTACCTCTGTTGTGATAAAAGGTTCACTGCAACAGAAATCCTAATTCACAAGGAACTTTGTCCAAAACATTGCACTTCTAGTGCTTCTCATATTCCAGTCGTAGTTATAAATAAGCGCCTTATATATACGGCTTGTGACAACTTCCAACAATTCACCAACAAAGTAAAGAATTATTTTTATGGTCACAGAGGCGACGAAGTCGATTTCATAGATAGACACGACTATACACAGGATGTGCCGGTAACATACACAAAGTCGCAGCAACTATTGGACCTCAGGTTAGAAAGTTCTCTCATACAAATACTTCAGCAAGAATACGAGAACGTGAGGGGGGTTCCTGTCATATGTACATTTTGCAAAGCACCTCACTGTTTCTGCACAAAGGGTGACGTCGACAAAATAAAAAGTAGCCAAACGCCAGTTACAGCAAAATCATCTATTTCTAAAGTAAAATTTAACACTAAATTCGAGAAAAAACCTCATTACCAAGCAGATGAATATTTCGAGACCTATGTTATGCCTAAAAGGTGTCAGTGCGGTAAGATGGCTCAAAAACATCTACAGCAGTTGTTGCCATCGTACATGAGAAGTAAAGCAATCGGTAAAACTTATTTGCCAAATTATGAGCCATGCCCGCATTATATAATAAGAAAGATGGTTCGAGATGCTAGGGGGCACAAATCTCATTTGCCTGCGGAACAAAAACAATCGAAGAGCAGAGATGTAGCTACTCAATTTGAGGATCAGGATGAAGAGTTCAAATTAGTGTGCGAATGTTTGTCTGCTGACTGTTTACAAAATGTATGGGCTCCTTCAATTACGGCCAGCCAATTTCAATTTATCAACCGTTCTATATCATCCACATCATCTCGAGACAATTCCTACACTGGGGGTAAAGTACATTCTCCAAGCATTTGGCGTGATACTGAGTCGCCTGATATTGTAGAATTATTCAAGGCTGACCATAAATAATTTTTATATCTTTAATGCTTTATTATTGCTTAATTTTATTTATTTATATACGTTTTCTTATAAAGTCTTATTTTTAGATTTAAAATATGTATTTTGTCCACCCAGTGAACGTGCAATTTGCACTTGTTGACTGAGTAAAAAGAAGTTTTGGAAACACATTTTCTTTTTTCGTTTTATAATATTTATTAACTTGTTATATTATACTTTATAATAATTTTGATTAGGTTTTTACATACTTTCGAACTCCTTTACAAAACATTATAACTGTACTGATCTACAGCCATAATTTAATAAATATGTTTACGTGAATCAATTTTTTTTTATTCCGCTAAGGCAGTTGTCTCACCGGCAACGATGAACGAGTAGCGAGTTGAGTTAGAATTGTTGCGAGTGCTCGCCGGCAGTGTGAACAGTCAGCGATCAACTATTCGTACCTATATGCGTCTCTTTTGTTTACACATGTATGATATTAATACCTACGTTTCTTGAGGGATAAAATAGCCGATAGTTACTCGTTTTCTCGTCTGCGGTGGGACAAGTACCTAACGTTTATTGTTTTTAGGGTTCCGTACCTCAAAAGGAAAAAACGGAACCCTTATAGGATCACTTTGTTGTCCGTCTGTCCGTCCGTCCGTCCGTCTGTCAAGACTTTTTCTCAGGAACGCGTGAAGGTATGAAGCTTATATCAATTTATATCAATTACTCAGGTCTACTGTCCCTTGAAGCTGTGAAAAAATCAAACTTCTAAGCCAACGCAATCAAAAGATACAGCCGTTTATGCCGCAAATTTTCGACACTTGCAAGGGAATCAAAACCTACAGGGTGCTTCCCGTGAACTCAGAATCTTGAAATTTGGTACGAAGCAACGTCTTATAGCATAGATAAAGGAAAAATTACGAAAACCATAAATTTTTAGTTACATCACATAATATATATTTTTTTAATAATTTTAAACTTACTACCCATTTCCTCATAAACGCGTAGAGGTATTAAATTGAAATTCATACCAAATACTCAGGTCTATAATACCTTTAAGCTGTAACAAAATCAAACTTCTATGTCAACGCAATCAAAAGAAACAGCAATTTAAGCTGCATATTTTGAAACTCGCAAGTACTCGCAAGGGAATCAAAACCTAAAGGGTACTTCCAGTCGACCTAGAATCTTGAAATTTGGCATGAAGCAACGTTTTATAGCACACATAAAGGAAAAATTCCGAAAACCTTAAATTTTTAGTTACATTACAAAATATGTCGTAATGAACGAACTTTGTAAACCTTGCAGGTTTGTACGGAACCCTCGGTGCGCGAGTCCGACTCGCACTTGTTTTTATAAGGCCACGGAATCATAACAGAGTCTTTAACTGGCCACT